TCTTTCTATAGTTTTTCTTTTTTTTTTTTTGTAGGAGCTTGGATGGCGTGTGGTCTCTGTTTCAAGTGAGCTTTTAAGGTTCTTTTCCCCCTTTTTTCTACGTGTTTCGTACTTTGTTTGGGTACTGCTCTCACACGGATGTGGCTCATGGCCGCCGGTGGCTTAGACTGAATTCATCCACCGACGAGAGGCTTCCATTGCCCTGTCTGCTGCTACTCGAGAAGCTGAAAAGTGGGAGTTCCGTACATCATGTTCTTTGACTCGGTGCCTTTGTGTGTGTGTGTTTTTTTTCTTCAGTCTCTTAAGCCCGCATTGCTTTGATTCCTTTGCCCTTTTCTGGGCCAACTGCGTTTGCGTGCAACTGGTGAGGCGTGGGGCGGTGCGCCGAAACTATTGAGACGACACTCACTCGTGCCCTCCCTTTTCTACTCCCTTTTTTCGTGGCTTTTTCAGACGGTTGCCGGGAATGTCACGTCTAGCCATCCTTGTTTTTCTTGGCACAGCGTACATTCTTTGGGGAACGCTGCAGACGGTCAGCATCAAGTGGGCGGATTCACTCACGGCAACCGATCGTTTTCAGGACTATAGATATGGTTTTGCCCATCCTTTTGTTCAGGCTCTAGTCATGTTTGTATCAGAGAGCCTCTCCTTGGGAGTGCTTGGTGTGCTGCTACTGGTGAAACGATATGTGCTCCGCCAAGCAATCGTCAGGGGGAAGGACGTTGCTTTGCCGTGCAACCCTATCGTCTGGATGCTTCCTGCAGGAGCAGACTTTGTTGCGTCTATTTTGCAGAACACGGGTCTGGTTTTAACGTATGCCTCTGTGTACCAAATGTTGCGTGGTGCAGTGGTGCTCTTCGTGGGATTGTTGTCACGCATTTGGCTGGGACGACGGTTTACACGCGTGGAGTGCGTTGGGATGGCTTTCGTGGCTGTTGGACTCACGCTTGTTGGCCTTAGCTCCGTTTTAAGTCACTCCTCGACAGGGGCGAGTAACGCAAATCGGAATCCTATTCTTGGCAACTTGCTAATTGTATTGGCGCAAGTGCTACATGCCTATCAAGGTGTTTGTGAGGAACGTCTTGTGAAGTTGTACCGCGTCCACCCACTCCAGATGGTGGGTACAGAGGGAGTCTATGGGGTGGGGATGGCACTTATGCTTTTGGCGGTTTTGCAGCTTCTGCCCTCTTCCCCATTCCAACACAACATTGTTGGTTCCATCGACACTGACACTCAACTTAATATGGAGCACGTGCGTGTTCCATTTGACGACGTTATCCTGGCGTTTGATCAGATGTGGCAAAGTAGTTACTGCTTGCTCTCAATGCTCTTGTACATATTGGGGGGCTTCTTTTACAACGCATGTCAAATGACAATCATTAAATACTTTTCGGCTGCCGCTTGCGTCATGGTGGGATCCCTGCGTAACATCACGGTATGGGTGGTGGCTCTTTCCATCCCCAGCATCTTTGATGAACACTTTAATTTTATACAGCTGACGGGATTTTGTTTTCTTGTTGCAGGGAATGTTTTGTTCCAAAATGTCGTTCCAGATCACTGGTGGCATTCCTGCTGCCCAGTTGTGCTAGGCACGCGTGGCGGGCAAGCTGAAGGCGAAGGTGCATAGTAGGTTGTCATCGAGGGCATGCAGGGGGCTGTTCTGCTTCCCCCGCAAACTGTTCGGGGTCCTGCCAGGGCGCAATTGAAGTTTGGATTTGTGTAAAGGCAGCACCGCTGCGGTGCTTCCGACGGAGGCGTACAGGGAAAGTAAATACATAACATGCAGTTTGGAGTGTTTATTTCCTTTGGCGTTTTTTTTTACCCTGCCGTTAGTGTTCCCCATTTCCTTTCCTGTTTTTGTTGTTGCTCTTTACTCCCTTGTTCTCTGTGCGTTCGACGTCGCATTTCCCTTTAGTGCGAGGATGTGTGTGCGTGCGTGTGTGTGTGCGTATGTGTGTGTGTGTGTGTTTTTTGCCTTCTTTCCTTTTCTCCCGTATTCGCAGTGCGTTTTGCCATTCTGCGGACGCGCTTATTTGGGGGCGTGCTTGTGGGGCGCAACTGAGAGGTGGCAAAGCGCCTCCCACGGTGTCGCCAAGCGAAGTGGGCGGCACCACGCAGCTTGCGGGCGAAATGCCCTAAGAGTGGGATGCGTGGATTGCACTTGTTCCTTTTTTTTATTTATTTTTATTTTTTATTTTTATGTCAATCGCCGGATCTCGTCTCTCACATTCACCTGTTTTTTTGTTTTTTTGTTTTTGCTTTACCCTGCGACAACAACAGCGGCGGCAGAAGCAGCGTACCGCGGAATGCCAGAGACGCGTTCACAGGGCAGATGAGTGACGCAGACGGGCCACAATATCCTTGCGCAAATGTGGTTTTCGTAGTTGAACTGGAGCAGGACATGGGCCGCAGCGAGGTTGAGATTGTGGAGAATGAGGAGCGGAAGTTTCTTTATTGGAGATACAAGGCCTCCGTTGCGCTGGTCACTAGCATGCACGAAGGCGGAACTGCCCCGACAACTTGGGATTGCCCTCATAGCTCTTCCTTGCACAGTGACTGCGGCGGACGGGCCGCACGGGAGGCGCGGTGCGGGCGACAGTCCACGACACGCCCGCAGAAGCTTGATACAACGGAGGTGTCGCAGTACAAGAAGGGATCAGTGGCATTTCCTCGTGCTAGGTCGCCCCTGACATGGTCGTGGAATCCGGTACGAGCCGGTGAAATGCAAACGCGTGCGGCGCAATGTGAAAATGTCTCCTCGCATGTCGGAGGTGCGTCTGTCACAGACGTAGGGAGGCCGCACAGCGTTCTTTGCTCTTCGCCGCACAGGCCCCCTATGTGCGCTTCCTTGTCGCTGTCTTTGCGCGGCGACACGCAGCTGCACGGGGACGCTGGGAAACGGCGATGGAACAGCAGCAGCAACCTTTGCAGCAAGGCTGCTGCTTCCAGCGTTGCGTCAGTGGTCCCTAACGATGGGGCCCGTTTGCCCAAGACGACCTTGGCACCCTCCGCAGGGCGGAGTTCAACTTCACTGGGCAAAGGAGTTCTCCCCAGCAAGAGCGGGTGTTGCCCCTTGGAAACTGAAACGGGTATCACCATCAGGCGCCCCAAGGCCCTCGTTGATGATCGTTTTGGGCGGCTGAATACTTTGCAAGATCTCCTTCGCATAGAGTTGGAACGTGAGGCGTTCGAGGACTGGAGGGTTCTGCGGGATGAATTTGTAAGGATAGGTTGTAAGCAGATGGAGGGGAAACCACTGCGGCGCACTTTGCGATATGGAGCTGGCAATGTGGAGGGTCTTGTAAGGGTGACGGCGACAAGGTTCAGCTGGGAAAGAGAAAAACGGTGGCAAGAGAGACGTTTTCAGGCACTGGAGCTCTGTAACCCACGCTCAGACAAGGCGGGGCTGCATGCTGTTGCACAACAATGCCCTCCCCCCAAAACTCCCTTTAAGCCGAATGAGAGGATGAGGGGGAGCACACGGATTTACATGTGTACGGGCGCATGGAAATAGGCTTGTGGGAGTTGCGAAGATGTTTTTTTTTCCGCGTGTGCATTTATGTGTGTCTGTGTACCATTGCTCCTTGCGGTGTTGGCTAACTGGTTCCGTCGCCGCGGACTTTTTAGTTTTTTAGCTTATTTTATTCATTTTTTTTCTTTTCTTTTCATTCCTCTTTCCCCCATGTTGTTTGTGAGCCTCTGCCGTTTGAGAGGAATGCATGGCCCAGTCATGTCGTTGCGTGCAAACCGTCCTCTACTAGAGAAGGCCACCATAACACTGCGGCACGCCGTTGAAGTGGCATATGCATCCGGTCTATTGGGGCCGCCTCCTCGCACTCTTGCGGGGGTGCCGGAGGCGGGCGCCTTCGCGCCGCACTCTGTGGCTGACCCAATGGGGCCACGCCCAGAATTCAGCGTGGGCGGCGGCGACGGTGAGCATGAGAGGACGCGTGATCGGATTCTTTTTGCGTCCCGCTGTGCGGAGGGAGCGAGTGTAGCTGCATCCTCATCGACGGTGTCGATCGCCCACTTGGAGGGAATCGTGCGGCGCGTTGTGTGCGGCAACCTTGACGGCGATGTGGTCCTACAGCTGATCCTCGAGGTGGCGGAGGGCAAGGAGCGACTCCCATTTGCGGCCCGGTGGCGCCCAGGCAGCCCTGAGGCTCTGCAGGGGCTGAAAGGCGGGAAGTACGTGGAGGAAGTGAACGAGCGGCTTGAAGGGAAGCGAGTGCTCTTGAGCGGGAGGCTGCAGGTGGAGGAGCGCTACGATGCGCAGAGCAAGATGCTGCACAAGGTGCCGGTGCTGATGCTGCTACCAACGCCGTCTCTTGAGGGAAGCGGTTTGTCTTTTCTTGGCGACTGAGGCTCTTTGTGTTTCCGTGAGGGGGCGAATGAAATGGTTCGGGGCCGACCTCGACCCTATCTTTTTTTGCGCTTGTCTTTTTCTTCTTGTGTGCTGTGGATATTGCGCCCTGCCTGCGCTGATTCTCCCTCGCCTTCTTCTGCCCTCTTTGCCGTCGTTTTTTGCCCCCTCCTCCTGCCGCGAGCCGCACCGTGTGCACGGCGCCAAGGATCCTACCAGCAGTACCCCCTCCCAAGCCGCGGTGTGGCGAAGCGCGAGGGGAAAAGAAGTAGCACTCAAGAAACAGAACCGAGGGTGAAAAATATAAAATAAAATAAAAGACTACCGTTGCGTTTTTGCTTCGTGGTTGTGGTTGTTGTTGTTGTTTTTTTTTTGTTTTCCCGCATCACACACATGTTTTCTCGCACTTGCTGTCGCATGATGCTGCGGCGCACAGCCGCACGCCGGTGCAAAAGTGTCAATAGTGTGACGTTGGTTGGCGTGGTGCACGACATCCAGAATGGGTTTGTCTACGAGGACGCCGTCACCCAGTTTACCCTCACAACGACAAGCATCGACACAACGCATCCGACACAAGAGGTCGTGGTGGAGAAGGATCACCACACGATCCGCTGCTTTGGCGAACTCTTCTCCGCGGAAGTGAAGCAGAAGATTAAGGAAGGCAACGTTGTCTGTGTCAATGGCCGCCTGCGACTTAGCCCGCAGCTTGAGCCGTCATGCAATAAGCACTTCTACTTTCCCTACATCCAGGTTCAGCCTCCTCATGGTCAGGTGGCTGTTATTCACGGCGACCGGAGGACCACACCGGTGTCCGTGAATCCGACCGTTGACGAAATTCCCGCGGAAACCGAGAGCGGTACGAACGGCAAAACAACTTAGCCTAACTGGGCTGCCAGTGTGTGCCTGGGGAAGCTTATTTACAGAGAGAGATAATTCTGAGGCTTTGGCAGGGGCGAAGGAAAAAAGAATGAGAAGGACGAGACAGTTATGTTTGGTGCTTGCGTGTCAGTGTGTTTTGGACGGTGCTATGGGAGGCGGTTTGTGAAGAAATGCTGGTTGGTGGTGCTCTGTCCTTTTAGGCATAGCCATTGATGCCGTGGAAGACGACATGTGGAGAGCGGCATGCCTTTTCACCTGTTTTTTTTTGCATGTATTTCTTTCCCGTCCCTTGTTTCTTGCTCTACCCCAATGAACAGAAAGAGGGGCAAAAAAACGCGTTGTGTATTCACGTATAAGCACACAGTAAGAGAGGGCCCACTGCTGGGGCGATCTCAATGCAGCCGCAACCTGTTGTTTTGAGGGAGCAGACGGTTCTGGAACGGACCAAGGCGGAGAGTCTGTTGGAAGTGCGGAACCTCAATCTATGGGGCGAAGGATTGACAGATGTCTCTGTTGTTGAAAAGATTCCTGGCATTGAGGTGCTCGCCTTGGCTGCCAATCAGTTGACTACGCTGCGTCCCTTTTCTACCTGCACCTCGCTGCGGGAGTTGTATCTGCGAAAGAACTACATCAAATCTCTTGCCGAGGTGAAATACATCAAGGGGCTTCCCAAACTGCACACGCTCTGGCTCATGGATAACCCGTGCGCAAAGAGCCCCAACTATCGCAGTTTCGTCATTCGGTGTTGCCCACACCTGAAGCAGCTAGACGACATTGAGGTCACTGAGAGGGAGCGAGAGGAAGCAAAGAGGAAGCTTTCGAAGAGTGCGGTACATTGCATATTGAGACACGGGAGCATCACTGAAGCGGAGCTGAACAGCAGTCCGCAGCAGCTGTCTAGTCCTTCCTCCGCGCCGAAGGTGGTTGAAAAAGGGCCCACTGCGGGCGTAGTTGGGCGGCTCAGCAAAGATGGGAAAGCGAAGGAGAAGGAGGAGACACGGCAAGGCGGAAGCCGGGGTGACGACACCGTTCGGGCATCGAGTGTCAGGCCCACACCCAGCGGCGGTCCATGCATGACGCTTCAAACGCAACAGGCAATTCTTACCGCCATCGTGTCGCTCATACCTGAACTGACGCTGGAGTCACTGGGGGTGCTCCAGAAGGAACTTCGAGAGGAGGTAGAGCGGAAGGAAAAGGCCACTAGGAATCAACCAAGTGGCTCACAGTAGCGCGACGCTTGGGTCAATGCGCTATTCTTTTTTTTTGTTGTGCTTTGCTGCTATCGTGTAATTGTTTCTTCCCGCCTTCCCCCTCCTCCTCGCAAAGTAAATGCTGCGTTGTCTGTGCGTCCTCTCACCCACCCACCACTACTTGCTCTTTTCCTTCCTTTCGTTACTTTGTTTTTTGTAGCCGCGTATTACTGGCCGATTTGTTGGTTTAGTTGTGAAGTAAAGGGGTAGTGCGTTTTTTTTTCTTTGGTTTTTTTTGTGTGTGTGTCTGCCGGTGTCTGGCGAAGGAAGAAAAGAGAGGACGAAAGGACGCCACTCAAGGCGTGTGAAGCTCAGAGGAAAAAGAGGGCGGACCCGCGTCTCTGCTGGGGGGTGCAGGGGGCACAAGGGAGGAGGACAAGTGGACGGAGAGGAGAGCCACGAGGGAACCCCGGCGAGTGGAGGGAGCAGCAGCCGCAAGAAGCGGACGAGGCCCAAGGCGCCGTGCGGGGGATTCGCGGCAGCGCGGGACAGAGCGTGTGGCCCGGTGTGTGATCCAACAAAAAACGGCAGTGTTTTGAAGCTTTCTCGAGAAAAGCAAAAGCACAGGCAAAAGGAAAGAGGGAAAGGGAAGGGAAAAAGAGACAGAGGACACCAAGAACAACAGGAACGCGAAGAAAATGTCGTCTGAAATAGAGCCGCATATTCTCCGTAAGTACGAGATCCAGGCGCAGTTAGGACAGGGTGCGTACGGCATCGTCTGGCGTGCTTCTGATCGACGCACCCGTCAAGTAGTTGCTTTAAAAAAAATTTATGATGCATTTCAAAACGCAACTGACGCCCAGCGTACGTTTCGAGAGATCATGTTTCTACAGGCCCTGAAGCACCCGAACATCATTAAACTGCTGCATGTACACCGTGCGACTAACGATAGGGATATATACCTTGTTTTCGAGTATATGGAAACCGACTTGCATGTTGTGATCCGTGCCAACATACTGGAGGATGTTCACAAACGGTTTATTATTTATCAACTACTGAAAACGTTGAAGTATCTTCATTCTGCGGAATTACTTCACCGTGACATGAAGCCATCGAATCTTTTGGTCAATAGTGACTGCTCAATGAAGGTAGCGGACTTTGGACTAGCGCGCTCCATCCTCTCACTGGAGAAGGAGCAGGTGGCTCGCCCTGTCCTCACGGATTACATCATGACCCGTTGGTACCGGCCGCCAGAGATTCTTTTGGGTTCGACGCGCTACACAAAAGGAGTGGACATGTGGGCTGTGGGATGCATTCTTGCCGAACTCATTCTAGGGAGACCCATATTTCCTGGACGAACCACAATAAAGCAGCTGGAGCTCATCATCAACGTGCTCGGCGAACCGACCCCAGAGGATATTGCGTCGACAAACTCTCAGTTTGCAGAGACGATGATGATGCGGGATATTCGACGCACAAATGTTACCACGTTTGCGGAGTTGCTGCCTAAGGCCTCACCAGACGCGCTTGACTTGGTGCAGAAACTTATGCGTTTTAACCCCAACGAGCGCCTCACCGCGGAGCAGGCGCTCGAACACCCATACGTCGCCGACTTTCACAAGGTGCAGGACGAACCCTCGGCACCGGCACCGGTAACCATCTCGCTTCCCGACGACACACGTTTTACGATGCAGGAGTACCGCGAGCGTCTCTACCAAGAGATTGCCAACGCAAGAAGAAGGATACGCCGAGAGGCCGTTGCGGCCTCAACTTCAAAAAAAGTTGCAGAAGCCGTGGAGACACGGGCTCACCCGACTTCCTCCGCTGCGGCCCCAGTGGCGGAAGAAAAACGGGAGAAGGTCCGTGATCCAGCAAGCACGCGCACCGCGACACACACCTCCTCCTCCTCCTCGGTCGCTGTTCGCCCAAAATCCTCGGCTGCCACGCGTACGGCGCTGGCGAATGGCACCAATCAAACCTCTCTTGCGAGTAGAACGTCGGACCCAACGCGTCAGTTGCATCATACCCGGCCCGTTGTTTTGCGTCATGGGCTCAACGGCTCACGCGCCGCGCACAAGTAGACGATAAGACACTGAACGGTTTATATATATTTATATATACACAAGAAGAAGGAGCGTTGAGACGAAATAAAAAAGAGGGAAAAATTAGGTGTGTATGCCTCAGAGGATGCAGAGGGACCTGGGGAGTACATGACAACATGCCGGCCGTGAAGGTATGTCTAGGTAGAAGTACTTCCTTGCGACTTCACAAGTTTTTCTTTTTCCACTGTTGGCCTTGCCACCCTTCTGTTTTGTTTTTTCTCGTTCCGGAATTCTCCATCCCTTTTTTGTCTTGTCTGTGGACGGCGCGAGAGGCCCTTTTTTTTTATTTGAGTTCTTGTTATTTTCACTTTCTTCCCCTTTTCCTTTTTTTTGTTACTTTCTTGGCTCGTATCTCCACTGTTTTTTTTTTTGTCGTATGTGTTTCTTCCTCGCCGGTGTGACGTGAGAGGCGCTACCAGGGCTAGCAGCGTTGCCAACTTTCATTGCACAGGCACACACACACACACACGCACTCTCCCTCTTTTTTTTCTCGGTGTGCTTTTCTTCTTTCTGCCCTGTGTGCCTGTCTGAATTGTTCGACGAGAGGAGATGAACGAGCAGGTGTGGGGGATGTAATCTTGTAGTTGGGTCATCCTCTGGGAGTGCCTCTCTCTGCCTCTCTTCCTAAGTATATATATATATATATACATATATGTATGTATGTGTGTGTATATATGCATATGAATAGTTGCAAACAGAGAAATAAAATTTTCAGTGCATCAGTTGGCTGAAGGCGGTAACGGGTGAATGAGGGTTGAGTTCGTTTTTTCGGTGCTGGGCGTGACGTGATGGTAATAGGCGTGCGTAACACGGCAGATGCGGGGGGGCGGGGGGTGCAGTGCGTGTAAGTAGGCCTGGAAGGCACAGAAGTGGCGTGAACGGAAGGGATGCGGTAAACAGAACAATCAGCGGCACCTTCTCCTCCCTCGGGCACGCGCGCACACACACCCAGCACAAAAGAGGAACCGAAGGTGGAGAGATGAAGTAAAATAGAAGGAGTGAAAGAATTAGAAATGAAAAAGAGGAATCATTCAA